AAAAAAAAAAAAAAAAGGTATTGACTTTGAAAGTTCTCTGGATGGCACAAATGGTTTGCTCTCACCTACTAATCTAAACATTGGCCGTATAAACCTACCACTGGTACCATGAGAGAAAGGTCTGGTGATCTCTTTCAGTAAATGTAACAGACAAGAAAACCCTATGGAGCAATTCTACTTTGTAATACATAGAGTTGCCATGAGCTGAAATCAACTCCAAGGCACTGGGTATTGGCTTTGAAAATATAAATGTAAAAAGATGACCAGTAAGATCATCTGTGAAATATTTTTGCTGTTTGTTACATTAGACCACAATATCAGATACTTGACATTGGTCATACGGTACACAAAGCGTCCAAAATCTGTGGTGGCAGTTTTCACGTGGCAACTGCTGTTCTTTGTTCATTTATTCACAGACAATTACTGGGCAGCCACTATATACCAGTCACTATGCAGCACTCTGAAGAAACAAACACAAGAATGAGTCCCTGGGATTCCAGATTTGCTGTGTAGTAGATGGATTACTACAAACGAGTACACTGGACTTACACTATTAAGCACTTACTATTTAAATCCTTCTTGGTTCCAAAAGTGTCTCAAGTTTCCTAGACTTAGCAGGCCACAAGTTACCATAGGCATCCTCAAGAAAGCAGCGAAGCATTCTAATCCAGCTAGTTGGTTGTGCTAGACAAACATGTCTCAGGATGCAACAACAATCAAAAGGCAGAGTTTTCAAGCCCTAGCAAGTCCATCACTGCTCTAATTCTCCCTGAATGGTGTTTTGTTGAAAGAGTTTTCTAAGAAGGAAAAGATTTGGATGGAGGAAGGGAATGACTAAAACCTGAGTTGATCCTTCAACCAAAACACTGACATTTTGTTGAGTTGGTGTTAGGGCACAGGAAGAATTCTTTGTACCCTCACCATATACAGTGGTGGAAAAGCTTCCAAAGCAAACCTAGTCAGCGAAAAAGATAAATTTACTTAATTTAGTACCACTGCTGGAACCTTCTTCAAGGTAGAATACCAGAAAGACTCCAACCCAACTCTAATTCAACAAGCTACATTATAAACAGACGGACAATCTCAGATAAAATTGTCCTCCTAACCCCTTGCTGTCCATCTCACTCACTCAGCCCCTTCCGGGGTGCAGAGTTCCCACTCAGACTCTGGACAGCACGCACCTTTCCTACCCACCCTTCACCCAGGGAGCTACCTACCACGTGCCGGGCCCCACCCCGAGCCAGCGGCCCTTTAAACACTCCCACCCATACACATTACCCACCCCACACACACTTCCGGACGGCAGCCGGAGAGGGACAAAACTCATGGCGTACAGCCAGTTTCCTCCGCGGAGCACGTCCCAAACTGCCCCAGCCTGTGGGCCTCTCCACCCGGGCAACAGACTCCAGGCGTCCCCTAGACTGGGGCTGCCGAGCCCGAGAAGTGTCGTCGCGGCTCGGCTTCTGGGCGGGGCCGGCAGGAGCGGGGGCCCCGCCGCCGCCGCTGCCCCCGCCTGCGGCTCGGTCCACAGCTCGCCCGCCGCTGGGTGCGCTGCACGCGGGGGGCAGCCGCGGTGCAGAGGTTCATGCTGCGGCGGCGGCGGCGGCGGCGGCTGATGCTGCTGCTGCTGCGGAGGCAGACAGATCAGGCGCTGCCGCCGCCGCCGCCCTCCCCAGGCTCCATGCCACGGCCGCCTCCTCCTCCTCCTCTCCAGCGAGGGGCGGGGGGCTCTGGCCCGGGGTGGGCACCACTCCTCGCAGAGCCGCTCCCCTCCCTGCCCTCCGCGCGGGCGCTGGAGCCGGCGGGGGCGCCTGCCGCCTCTTAGGAGCGCACGCTCCGCGTACCCAGCCGGAGAGAAGGGAGGGCGTGGGCAGAGGCTAGTAGGAGTCGGGGCAGCGGGGCAAGGCAGCGAGAGGAGGGGGCTTCCCTGGAGGATGC